CTGCCTGTCTGCCTGTCTGCCTGTCTGCCTGTCTGCCTGTCTGCCTGTCTGTCTGTCTGTCTCTCTCTCTCTCTCTCTTTTTTCATCTCTACGTAACATGCATATGTGACATGAAAACCAAGATGCCGCGTACTAACTCACTTAGGCTTGACTTGTTTTGTGAAGCACGCTTGCCGTTCATCCTAGGTCACTTATATAGCCAATCTTTGTTTTGTTTTGTGTTGTTGGGTTTCGTATGCAACCCGCAGTAGCCTGGCATTTGTGCTACGTTTCGCATAGCGGGCTTAACAGTGGGATCACGCATCGCACCTAATGTAGTATCAGTGCATGCCACCATGGGATGCGCATGTGGTTGGAATTCAATAAAGGGAAGGGAATTGTTCCCCTCGGATCCGAGAACTGAATAAGAATCACAGACCGACCGACAGACAGACAGACAGACTGACACATACACTTAGATCCATGCTCGCAAAAGCAGTATCAGTTTGGAAATTCCCGAGAGCTAGTTACTGCATTACCCATCTAGGGCGCTAAACCTGAAAAGGCCCTGCTCCCAACGAGATTTGGTAGGGTTGGGGAGAGTGGTGAGTGCCCGCAGCTTGTGGGATGTAAAGAGCACTGGCTGCTTGGTTGCGCGAAGCCGGCGACGGAATTAGCGAGGCGTGGATAAAAGAGGGCCCGATGTCGCGCAAACTGCCAACCGTCAGCTTTCAAATGGAGGTGCGGGTTGCCGCTTGCAAAATATAAAGTCCACAACGTGAGCACAACAGACGAGCCAAGCTCAACAACACCCATATCCGCCGAGTTGTCTCTGCGTTCTGGCACTCCACAGGCAATCCACAGTCCACCTGTCCACCCATTCCGACTATGACACAGCCTGGTTCACGAGCAGAATGCCAAATGCTTTAGAGCCCACATAGGAGTGTCCTGATTGGTGAAAGGCGTGAGTGGGGTGTGGATTGAAATGGAATTTGAGATAGACGGAGTTGGGTGCGACAAAACTGGTGTAGTGATAGTTGCGCGGTGTGATCTGGAGTTGGCGAA